GAAGCCACACGACTTCTTTCGATGCCTCTATTGCCTTCATGTACTAAGCATCGGTAGTTGACAATGCTACCGTGTCTTGGAGCCTTGACATCCAACTTACCGGTCCATTTGCAAATCGAAAGATAAATGTTGTAGTCGACTTACCTCTATCAATATTACCGGCAAAATTTGCAGCCACAAAACCTTGCATTTAAGTTGAGCTCTTGTTAAATGTGATTGCCTAACTAGTTGTGCCTCTTAGGTACTAAAGCACTCATTTTGTTGCTGCCTAATAAACCTTTTCGGGGTTTGCCATAAACCAACTTAAAACACCAATTGTATGCACGATATCTGGTCTTATACATACCATGGCAAACATTAAACTTCCAATCGCATTTGCATTAGGCACATTAGCCATGCTTCTTTTTTCTTCCTCCGTCTTCGGACTTTGCCTTGAAGGCAATTTAAAGTGAGGCGCTAATGATGTCTTCACTGGCTTTGCATCTGTCATGCCAAATTTTTCGAGCACCCTTTTTATGTAACCTTTTTGAGATGGTGACAAAATGTCATTTTGTCTATACCTTTCAATTTCAATCCTAAAGATTTGTCTTGCCGGCCCAAAATCCTTCATCTCAAATCTTTTGCTCAAAGAAGTCTTGAGCTCATCAATTTTAGCCTTATCTTTGCATACCAAAAGCATGACATCCACATATAAGACTAAAATCAAGGACATACCATCATAAAAAAACTTTAAATAGATGCAATGGTCATATTTATTTCTAGTGCACCCAAGGCTCATCAAGAACATATAAAATGTTTTATACTATTGTCTTGCTACTTGCTTGAGCCCATGCAAGGACTTTTCAATTTGCACACAAGTCCTTCGCCTGTCTTTATGAAGCCTTCAAGTTCTTACATGTACACGTCCTCTTCAAGTTCCCCATGCAAAAATGTCGTCTTCACATCCATTTGTTCAAGCTCCAAATCATGCATAACAACTAACGCAAACACCAAGCGAATTGAGACTAACTTGACTACCGGTGCAAAATTTTCATTAAAGTCAATGCCTTGTTTTTGTGAAAAACTTTTTGCCACCAATCTTGTGCTATATCTTTCAAGCTTGCCATTGGGCCCCTTTTTTATCTTGAACACCTATTTACAACCAACGGCCTTTCTACCTTTTGGTAGCTCCACCAAATCCCAAGTCTTGTTTATTTGAAGGGACAATATCTATTTTTCCATAACTCTTTTCTAATGCTCGGTACTATTGCTATCAATGGCTTCATAGAATGATGTTGGCTCTTCATTTTTGGCTATCAAAGCATGCAAAGTATTTTGATCCATACAATCTTTGAGCCACTCGGGCGCACGAATTTCTCTAGTAGAGTGCCTATGTGCTAAAGGCACAACTTCATCATGATGGCCAGGTGGTTCTTCATCTTGACTTCCTAGTTCTTCATCCTTTTCACCATGATCAATGGGTATATTCTCATAAAGCATAATCGTACTTGATGGAAGTAACTTGGGGTTTCCTTCGAATTCTTGGATTTCTTGTTGCACTTCTTAACCATTGTCCTTCATCACCATTCCCTTTGTCAATACCATGGATTCATAAAAATGCATGATTAGTTTTCAGGTACTTGGATCCCATAACCTGTATCCCTTCACATCTTTGCTATAACCATACATTTCTTTGACCTTGGTCCATCTTGTTCATTTGGTAACTAGGAATAAGTGCATATGCATCACATCTAAAAAATTTTAAATCGGAGTAGTCATTAGGACTTCCATATCATATCTCATTGGGAGTTTTACTTCTCAATGCTACCGAATGTAACCGGTTGATAAGATAACAAGTCATTGATTCAACTTTCTCCCATAATTCTTGTTCTAAATCGGTATTGCTTAACATATACCCTGTACGCTCAATTAAAGTGTGATTCATTCTCTCGGTTACACCGTTTTGTTGAGGAGTATAGGCATTTGTGTAATACCTAGTAATTCCCTCGACCTTGCAAAAGCTTTCGAATTCCTTAGATACAAACTCTTCACCATTATCGGTTCGAATAACTTAGATGTGATGCCTTGTAGATTTTTCAACTTCACCTTTAAAATTCTGGAACGCACAAAACACATCACCTTTGGACTTCAAAGTTTTAATCCATACTTTTTTTGAGAAGTCATCAATAAATGAAACAAAATATAATGCAACTCCAAAAGATGTAGTTGGCGAACGGCCCCATACATCCGAGTGAATGTAATCAAGTTTACACTTGCTTGTATGCTTTCCGGCCTTGAAAGGTTGTTTGTGTTGTTTCCAATAGACACAATGCTCACAAAAATTGGATCCATCAATTTTAAGTGTAAGAATAAAATTCACCTTCATCAAGACCTCCATACCTTTATCACCCATATGCCCCAAAATCTTCTATGCCATAGGCGAAATGGAATTTCCTCACTTTCGACTACAAAATTTACTTTATCATTTATTATTATGCTTCCTAATAACTTGTAAAAGCTCTCAATTAGGACTATTTTCATCACAATTAGAGCCCCTTTTGATACTTTGATTACTCTATCTTGACCGGTGAACTTGTAATGTCCCGAATCTAGAGAAGAAAGGGAAATCAAACTCTTTTTTAGTTTCGACACATGCCTAACATCCTTAATTGCCCGAATAGTCCCATCAAACATTCTTAAGTGAACTAAACTCATTCCAACCACCTTGCTAGTTGCGTTATTACCCATGGATACCGATCCTCCTTCACATGACTCATATGACTCAAACCATGATTTATGTGGGCACATGTGATGGGTAGCTTCACTATTATATATCCACTTTTGATAGAATATCGAGTTATATGCCACTATCAATACTTCATCTTCTATAAATCCGAATGTAAACTCTTCAACTTGATTTATTTCATTCTTAGATTCAATTTTCCTTTCACCTCCCGAATTAGGAGCTTTGGAAGAATCCACCACATTTCTTTTAAACCAATTTTTCCTTGTATAATCAGGCTTCCCACAATGCCAACACACATTCTTGTTATTAAGCCATCTAAATTTTGATTGAAATTTGAATTACTTCTTGAATGATTCCTCAATGAATCACTCCATTCATTCGATCAACATTTTTCCACAAGAGCTTCCATTTTAGATTCCATCGAACTTCTCAAAGATGCCTTCTTTTGAAGTTCATCAACCAGTAAGGCACTACACACCGAGCCCAAATCAAGAGAATATTATTTACTACAACTCAATGTAGTAACAAGGTTCTCATAAGATTCTGGCAATGAACAAAGCAAGGTAACCGCTTTATCTTCATCATCTATTTTCGCACCAATACTCTCAAGTTGACAAATGATGTTATTAAACTCATTCAAGTGTTCCGACACATTTACACCCTCTTTCATTCTCAAAGAATACAATTTACTTTTTAAGAAAATTCGGTTTGTGAGATATTTTGTTTGATACAAACTTTTCAATTTTTCCCTCAAATATTTTGTCGACTTTTCCCCAACAATATTAAACAACATTTCATTCGCCAAATACAAGCAAATAGTGGCACATGCCTTGATCGATTTTCTATCATTTTAAAGTAATACCTTGGGTTGCCTTTGATGTACTAATAAATATTGCATTTTTAATTTTCAAATTTCAAAATTATCGTTCCCATTAAACTTCTCTACCTCAAACTTTTGAGAAGCCATTTTCTAAAAACTACTACACTAATTCCCTGAGCTCTGATACCACTTGTTGTAAATCGGGAAACCCAATTACCCCTTTGAGCAAATCGTGATATCTCAAATCCCTACTAGATGTGGTGCGCACTCCATATCAATAATTTCAACACTACAATAACATGCTCAATATACAATTACAAGTGCAATATTATTAGAAAAAAATAAATAAACAAAAAAACAAGTAATATGATAAATCAACAAAGAACAACACAAATGAAAATAGAGAGGGATACGCAAATTTACGTGATTCACCCAAGATGGAATACGTTCACAAGCAAGACGGTAAAGATGTATTCACTATCAAGATGAAAACTTACAAGATTGGAGTTATATAAAGTTACCTCATGAATGCTCAAACAAAAGAACTTCCTACCACAAAACCATTGACAATTTTATCCTTTCTTTGATTAATCGATGCCGTGAAGAAATGCCAACAAAATGGCCCAACATGAGCCCAAATTGAGTGCTTGTGTTTTCTTGCAAAACCCCCAATTTCAAACCCCAGGTCTCTCTCAAAGTCCTTTGCTTTTCCTTCCCAAAATAGCTCCCACACTCACCCACACGTTTCTCTCTCTATCAAAACTCTTTTATGAGCCTCCACTAAAAAAAGTCTAGTTTTAATGACAAAAATACCTTTTAGCAAGAGAGAATACCATAAAGCCATAGGATGTGATCTTTCCATTACATCCCAATAGATATGACGTTGCAGGAAAACCTTCTTATCCAACTACAAAGATATGTAGTCCTCATAAACAGATTGAAATTGAAGGACTCAAAATATGACATTGGCCATACGAATTTGGATCAGCAGGCTATTAATTCCTTAACTGTTATTTTACTATTTGATCATTCAAATTTAATAAAACAAGCAGGTTTGATAAATATTGGAATAATCAGAGAAGAAAAATAAAACACAATGGATCAAACACATTTAAAAAGCCTCCATCCCAAAAATCATAGATAAGGAACCCTAATTTGTAAGTGAAACATCAGGAACGTTAAGTTCAAGTAAAGGAATACTTAATTTCAACAGTGCAGTACATGTGAGACTAGGATATTTGCATTCACAAATTTATGAAAAGTGGCATTCTGTTCACACAGAAACTGAAAGATGAATTCCTGGTAAAAGCCAATCAAGACAAACAGGCTAAGAATTAGGGATCATACACAATGACTGAGGCAGTTCACAACTACTAAACTGCAGCGGGTCATCTATATTTTTCCTAAGAATTATAAGTGCAGGAGTTTCAGTGAAACATAATACAAAAAGAATAATAAGGTAGGATACCATTGAAGGAAACATATATTAATAAAGAAGAAATACTGAGTAAAACTTATTTTATATAATATACATTTGCTCCCCAAGCAGGTCTAACACATCAGAAAAGTAAAGAATCCCTTCCAAGTACATGGATTATGGGAAGCAATATCTTTGCTCCACTAATGTGGTTATATTCCCTTAAGTTTTGAATCCTCAATATGCTCCAATTTGCTCTTAAAGAAATGGTTTTCGCAACGGCATGATTTATATTCGCCCTAGTTATGAATCCTCAATATGCTACATCCGTTGTAAAGAAATGACCCACTGCACTGAAGTACATATATGTTCCCCTTAAGTTTGAATCCTTAATAAGCTAAAATGTTTTTGCACTCTTCTTGTTGCTAAAAAGCCTGGGTAAATTGGGAATTGCCCTCTTTTTTTTCTTCATAGTAAAGGAGGTGTGGTTGAAGTGAGGTTTTCCAGGTGACCGAGCTGTTCTTAGTTTAGTCGTTCTAGATGGGCTATAAACACAGTAATCCCCAACTGGTTTGCTCAGAAATTTGGGCTCAGGTTGCAAGCTTATGAGCTCAGTTTGTTTCTCTTTCTTCCTGAACTTGTTAAGCTCGCCTTCGACCTGTTTCTTTGCTGTCAATGACTTCTCGGTTTCATGTCTCTCTCTCTCTTCAGATAGACTTAGCTCCCTTATCTCTCTTTGTGCCATCTCTATTTTCAATAGTATCTCCTTCTCTCCAGCTTTAATGGCATTGACCCAAGCTTGTGCTGCTGCTATTTTCTTATCAGCAATTTCATCCGCCCCATCAGCCTTCTTGTTAAGATACTGAAATTCAAAGTTAGATATTGTTATAGAGGAAGCCTGTTGAGATGAAGACGCTCTATCCTTTCGCGTCTTCTCAGAAAGAGTCCTTAAGTTGTCGAGAGCTATAGCCTCTGCTGCCTTCACTGCCTCGAGCTCTTGCATGGCAGATTCCAAATTCTGTTCGGTGATGCTTATGTCAGCCTCAGTATTTTCTATCTCTAACCTTAGACTCTGTATTTCTTTACAGATTTTCTCCCTCCTCTTCTTTGCAGCGTCAGCTTCTGAACGCAGTTGCCGTAAGCTGGTTGATAAATCAGAGAGGATAGTATTCACCTTCTTCTCTGCTGCCTCTGCACTTTCTAACATAGCCTTGGCTTTGAGAAGCTCAGAGTTGAGAAACTGCACATTAGCATCTTCTCTCTCTTCTTCGCTCTTCAATTCTGCGAGCTCTTTCGAGACTCGTCTCAGCTCATCCCTTATGGTATCCATGGAAGTCATAAACTGAAACCCCTCTTGACGAATGCTCTCTAAGTCCTTCTTTGCTGCTTCGAGTTCAGACATGATTGCCTGTAACTGGGTAGAAGGAGCTGCAACTTCATCTTTCTTCTCTTTACCTGTAGAGGAATCAGAGCTCCTCTTCTTGGCATCTGAATTCAGATCCATTGCTTTTACCAATTGAAGTTCCTGCTCTAGAACATAAGAATCAGCTAATGTAACAGCTAGAGTCATTTGGAGCTCCTTTGAGGAGTTTATTTGTTGCGCCAGATCCTTGATCTTTTTCTGGGTTTTCTCCATGGCTGAAGAATATTGGGAAGCGTTGGCCTCTCTTTGAGCTTCAATGGAATGAAATTCTTTTAAAGCTTCAATACTTGCCAACTTGACAAGCACGTGCTCTTCATTAGCATTGTCGATCTCTTTTCTTAAAGTGTGTAAAGAGCTTGAATAGGCTCTAGCCTTTTCAGTGGACTCTTGGGCTTGCTTTTCTGCAATTCTTTTTGTTTCCAATGCCGAAGCCATATCGCTCTTAATTTTCCTTACTTCTTCTTTGATTCCTTCAAGCTCCCTAGAGACTTCCATGTACTGATTCTTCGCGTTAGAAGCACCTGTTTGCCAAAGTGTACTGCTATTCTCATGAGTACTCAGGCCATGGATTCTCAGCTTTTGGCTCTTGGCATTGTCCCTCGATTTTTTAATCTGAAGGGCGAGATCTTTGGTGGCCATCTTAGCACGAAGGAGTTCAGACCGTGCTTGTATTCTCATGGTTTCTGAAGCATTCTTGGCATCCTTATATCGGCTGATATCGTTCTTGGCCAGGTGAAGTTCTCTCTCTTTAAGTGCTGTCATCTAGAGAAAATTCAATATATTCATAGATTTTGTGAGGGAAAATATCATTATAAATGATGGGTTCTTGTGGATAATAAATGAATAATCAACAAAGCCAATGAAAATCCAATTCTAGCTTTAATTTACCATAACTCATGTGTAAAATTATTTGTTCTACCATGGAAAAACATCAAGCAAAATACAAATGCATAGTAGAGGAAAGTACAAGAGGGAATTGAAATGGTAAATCAATAATACCCAAAATAGAAATCCTAACTCCAATTTATTCAATTGAAGCAAAAACCCCATGCTCCCCAAACAAAGCGTGAACAAGGAATTGAAAATCTTACCTCTGAAACAAGCATTTCGGCGTTCTTTCTCTCAGTCACTCTCCCAACAATCCTTTCTCCAAACATGTTAACAGCAGCTCCGACGGACCCAATCTGCAACTCGCCATCAGCTGCCATCTCCATCTCATTACAAGCCCAAATTCAACACGCCAAAGTCACTCTACACAACAAATTCTCAAATCTCAACAGCTGATCCACTTCCAAAGAAATAAAAAAATAAACAGATTCAGGCAAGAGAACTCAAGCAGTGACTAAAAATCCACTAAGGAAACACCATAATAAAGCTGAAACCAGTACAAAACTCGGGATTTAAAGCCCAAATTTCCATTAACAAAAGTTGGGTTTACAACAAAAGAAATTGGAAAACATATTCTATTCTTTTATACGGTGGAATGAGATCAAAGTGTAGAAAACAGAAAATCCACAAATATCACATAAGAAATGGTGTACAGAACCATGAATTCTGAAAAGGCAATAGAAACTATCTTGAAATAATAGAAAACTGTGTCACTTAAACAAAGGTCTCAAACTCTCAATTATTTTGGAAGCTAAGATTACAACAAAAAGACTAAAAGAAAAGAATGACTCCAAGAAGAGAACCAAAATAGCAAACCTGGATTCATCCTTTTCCATATAATGAGAGAGAAGAGATGAGCGTAATATGAAGCTCATAGGGTGCTAATAAATTAATGTAAATTTTAGAGTGAGGCATTTGTTGGAAATACCGCCCCACAAAAGAATTCATAAGGCCACAACATTGTCGGTATTCACCGCAGAAATGCTATTTCCCCCAATTTTTTTTATATACTCCTTTTAAGTTCTTTCTCTTAAGTATTTCTGTTTGTTTTTTTTTTCGATGAAGAATTTTTCTGAATCCAGAGATATGTCCCACATTATTTTTCAATTCTTTTTTTTTAAAAAAAAGTCACGATGGCATGGTATTTACGATGAGATAAGGAATTGCCCTTGAATAAGATGAATTAGTAGTCTTGCCCTTATCTGGATGGAACGGCCTTTCTTTTTTTCTTTCTTTCTTATTTTTTAATTTTATTTTTGGCCATTTTAAAAAGGATAAAGTTTATATAGAGCTGAGGCTCTACACAATCAAATTAGAGCCTACCTCAAAAATTTCACTGAAAGAGGTTGTTTTGATCCCCAAATATCATTAATTAAATAATGATCAAAATTAAATAGTTATAAATGTATTAATATGAATTTTAATATTTATTCTTATTATTTTTACTCTGTTTCGACATCAAGATGTAAGAATATGAAAAAAAAATGGATTCCAAATTTTGGAAATAGTGTATCTTTTAACGCATTTTTTTACTTTCAATTTTTAAAATTTTTAAGTTTTCATAGATTTACTCAATCTACACTATTTTTTAAGCTTTAAATTTTATAATTAAAGAAGAAAATATATTTTAAGGCTATCAAAAAGATATCTAGTGTTGAAACCACAATTCTTGACACTATTTGGAGGTACGCTTTACTTTGATTGTTTAGAGGCTCGGCTCTATACAAACTACACCATTTTAAAAAGTAAAGGGGTGAACTAAAATAGCATTGAGGATGGCAACAGGGTGGACTGCAGGTTGGGCCGGGCTGGGCTAAGCCGGGGCCAGCTGTGGCTTGATCCTGGCCTTATCCCTATAGGACCAGGCTAAAAATAAAAGGAAGAACAAAAAAAAAGAGAGCGAGGCTGAATCGGGCCGGCATATTCCCTAGCCCGATCCTCGGGCCATAGTTTGTGGCTTAGGCCCTACTTTTTTAACACTGGGCTGATTGGTCTGGGCTGAGCCGCCTACCCCATTATCAACCCTAGTCACAAGGCTACATAGGCATGTTGCCAATTTATTAGAAAATATTTCAGCAGAATAGTCGTGGGATTTTTTATATGCAATATTCTCATGACGTTTTTCCTTTTTTTTTTTTTTGCCTTAGATTTGCATGATCAGGTAAGCCAATGTATGAGTATTTTTAAGACCTCAATTTTTTAGAACAACCCCTTCAACCCTTATGCTATACTAAATAAATTTTTTTCAAATTATTTTCTTTATGGGCTTGAAAAAAATAATGCCGCACCATTTAATATAAGCCCTCCATCTTTTGAAGGTGAAACATCTAATGACTTTTAAATGGTTCAAATTTCAAAACAAAAAAATTTCTGACGTTATTATTTTGCCCGATGGAATAAGTGTACTTTGGCATGAGCGAATTCATGTTTAAAATATTTTTAATTTTTTTTTGTATTTGAGCTTTTTATTTTTTTCAAAAACTCTGAAAAGATATGAAAATTTATAGTCTCACTAAGAGTATGACCTTTAATAGAATAAAATGACAGAACATGATCCATGTATCGGGCCCCAATTAATTAAAAAAAAAACTATGAGGATGAAGATCTTTTTTGGAAACTTTCCAAAAAAAAAACCACACAAATTTAAAAATCAAGTTGGAATCCTCCAAAGATTCCAAGGAAATCGAACTTAATAAAATCTCGCGAGAATTATCATTTATTCTATTAAGTGCAATGAATCTAATCACATACTCTTTTTCATAAAGTTGAAGCTTTCGTGCATTATATTGGAGAAAAGAGTCCAATTCTTATAAGATAAAGGGTCATGTTAGGATTCTAAATATTTTTTAAAAAATATTTCCCTTATCCATTAATGTAGTAATTTTCTGTCTAGAGGTATTTTAAATAATTTGTCAAGGATAAATTTAAAATATTGTACTCAAGTTAAGCATACATACTGACATGGTCACTGTCACTTAATTTATAGAAAGAGAAATATTTATTAATTATAGAAGAAGATGACATCATCTATATGGTGTGTAACATCACCCACATAGAACAATGATTGTTTCTCCACCAGTAATACAATGCCAATAGCCTATAGAAATATCTATCATGCTCCTTCATATGGTGAGAAATGTTATTTCTAAAAAAAATTGTATTACAAAATAAGAGTAAATAATTGTTTAAAAATATTTAGTACTTTAAAGAAATATTCATATACATGAGTATCCTAACATAACCCCAGAAGATATACCCATTCCTAACCTATTACGAAATGTATACATTATGCAATAAGACTATTTATTGTTTGCATAAGGAGATCACAATTATTATTGACCATTAATAGTGAAATTGAAGGACTAAATATGTGTCATGGATAAGGCACAATGTCTAAAATAAAATTTTTCGAATATTGTGATAACAGATTTCATATCCAATGGCTACGATTGATTGTGACCTATTTGTATAAAAAATAGATAGTTCTATAATACAAAAAAAGGTATTGAATATTAATATATTAAACTATGAAAAAATTATGCAAAATATTTTTTATTTTCAAAAATTTTAAAAATATCTCTTTTTTCATGTTTTATACTCAAATCTCACTTTTTAAAAGCATATAGTATACATTTTTAAAAAATTATATCAAATTAGTCTCAAATTTGGGGGCATTAATGCTTCTCATAATCATATATCTAAAAAATATAAAAATATTTCAATAATAAAAAATCATATATAAGATTTTGGAGTATTTTGGTAATTTTATTTCTTTAAAATTATTACATATTTTATAGAAGTACCCAATGGTGAGAAGTATATATGTCCAAAATTTGAGTTTAAATTTTGTACAAAAAAAATAAAAACCCTCCCTCAAAATAGAGACTTCAACATAAAATATGAAATAGAAAAAAGTTTATATAAGGTTGCAAACTTAAAATGTAGAATTAAGGTGCACCTAAAAAATCCATTGAAGAAGGCTAGTTTAATAGTGAAAAACCGTTTAATTGTTCATCACAATATCGAGATGTACAACTATAAAAAAGAAAAAAGATTTCGGGACCCAAAAATAGTGCATCTTGCGACATTATCTTGACCATTCATTTTCAAGATTTTCATATGTTTATATATCTATTTGGTTTGAATCATTTTTAGAGTTTAAATTTTTATAATTAGAGATGAAAATAGATTTTCAGACCGTCTTCGAAAATTTTGATACCAAAATTTGAAATATACAATCTTTGCATTCTAATGAACAGTCACATAAAAAGAAAAATTTGAAAACACAACTAAG